TTAAGTGTGTGAGGTCAGATTTAAACTCAGGTCTTTCTGACTCCAGGACCAGTGTTACCTATCCACTGAGCCACCTAGATGCCTCATACAAATTTATGTTACCTTATCTCAACTAGGTCCTCACAAGAGCAAGGCAATCCTTTTAAATCTCCCTAATGGATTCATTAACCTATTCATCAAGGTGGATTTTCAACCCTTTTGTCACTTCTCAAACCTTTCCCATGGCTCCCCCATGAGGAAGGTTTCTCTCAGCTGACCTTGACTCATATTTTACTAAAAAAATTGAGGCCATTCACTATGAGCTCCCTCTTCTCCACTCCCTTCTCATCACTCTACCACTAACATGCCTTCTGCCATTTTCTTCTCCTTTACCCATGTTTCACACAAAGAGGTGGTCCTTCTCCATGCCAAAGCTAACCCCTCAAGACAAACAACTAATCCCATTCCATCCCATTTTTTTCTAACAGATTACCTCCCGTCTCATACCCATTCACTTACCTTCAATCTCTCCCTGCCTACCAGTTGCTTCCTTATTGCCTACAAACACACCCATGTCTCCCCTACTCTCAAAAAACTCTCAGTTGACCCATTCATGCCTGCCAGCTATCATCCGACTTCTCCTTCTCCCTTTTCTGGCTAGATTTCTCCCTTCCAAAAGAAGGCTATCTGTAATCAATGCCTCCACTTCCTTTCCTTTTACTCTATTCTTAAGTCAAGCAGTCTGGCTTTGACTTCATCACTCAAGTGAAATTGCTCTCTCCAAACTTAACAATTATCTCTTAACTGCCAAATCCAATGGCCCTTTCTAATCCTTATCCTTCATTGACTATTCTGCAGTCTTTCACATTGTTGACCACCCTCTTCTCCTGTATACTTTTTTCTCTCTAGTTTTTCATGACATTGTTTTCTCCAGGTTCTCCTCCTACCTATTTGACCATTCCTTCACAGTTCCTTTGATGAACTAGCCAACACCCTGGTGTTCAGACCCTTATAACCTCAAACTTGGATTACTGCAATAAACTGCTGGTTATTCTCCATGCTTTAAGTCTTTTCCCACTCCAGTCCACTCTCCACTCATCCGTCAAACAGATCTTCCTAAAGTACACGTTTGACCATGTCACCTCTTCCCCCCACCCCCCATATTCAATCAACTCCAGGATCAAACAGAAAATATTGTTTGGATTGTAAAGTCCTCCATAACCTGGCTTCTTCCTACCTTTGAAGTTTTCTACCTCAGCTATTTTCATCAGCTGTCCCCCATAGCTGAAACTCATTCCCTCCTCATCTTGGCCTCCTAGCTTTCCTAGCTCCCTTCAAGTCTCAGCTAAAATCCCATCTTCTGGGGCAGCTAGGTAGCGCAGTGGAACCCTGAAGTCAAGAGGACCTGAGTTCAAATCCAGCCTCAGACACATAACATTTACTAGCTGTGTGACCCTGGGCAAGTCACTTAACCTCAACTGCCTAAAAATAAAAAAATAATTAAAAAATTAAAATCCCACCTTCTGCAAGAAATCTTTGCCAATCCCCCTTAATGCTGCCTTTCCTCTGATAACTATCTCGTTTATCTTGTATATATTTTGTCTGTACAATTCTGTTTCCCTCATTAGACTGAAAGCTCCCTGAGAAAAGGGACTATCTTTTACTTTTCTTTTTATCCTCAATACTTAGCACAGTGCCTGGCACATAATAAGCACTTAATAAATACCTACTAACTTGACTACTAGAAAATCCATACTCAACAAATTGGTACATACACCCATCTTTACGTGATCCATCCCATCATCTTGCACTGACCTAAAACCTAAGTATATAATGTATTCAATAAAGTGCCTGCTGATGTTACAGTTCTAGTTAGGCTATTTTTGTTCTAAATGTTTGAAATGAAATTTTAAAATACTGAAATAAATTCAAATATTTTGAAGATGTCACTAAAGATAAAAAAAGCAGTATTAGTTACATTCAGTTTTAATTATTGCAAAAAGACCTACCCAGATAATATACACAGAATAGAAATGATAAGAAACATGAAAGTCACAAATTTAAAATATTACAGGCCCTTAAGAGTAGCAGCATGACTCCAAACCTAAATCTTCATCAAGAAAGATCTCAAAAACCTTTTTATTGCTACACTAATACTGGAAATTCCTGGATCCAAGTTTTAATAATTAGACTTATGCCTGAAAGAAAACTGTTTCTTATAGGATGGGGGGGGGGTTCCAAACCAAACATGATTTCATTGTTTCAGGGAGTTCCCAATTAAGGCAATTCCCTCCACCGATGCAAATAAATTCTTCTGGCAACTTACTGTCTTAGGAATTGGCTGGGATACTGGCACTGCTGCCCAGTCAATATTCAAACTTTGAACTTCAGGTTCAAATCTTGAACCCAAGGCTAACTAACTGAAGCTGGCTTTCTCCGTTTCATACCATTGTTTTTCAAACCAACTTTTAACTGTACCTTTGTATTATCCATTTATTATACAGGATGCACTATAATAAATTGTCTTATGTAGGAAATACTCAAGCAGCAACCTGAAAGATGGGTAGAACTTAGCCTGACAAAAGAAGGTAGGATATGCCTCTTACTTGGGAACAAGTCCAAGAACAAAAGCTGAGGCAGGAAGGATAAGGTGAATGAGGGAAAAAATCTGAGGGGAGGGAGAAAGCAAGCCTATAAAATCAGAAATTAATCCTATAGACAGTAGCTCCCTACAACCTACCAAATCAAGCATAAACCTAATTCCTCATTTCCCACTACTTTCCAACACAAAAGCTCCATACAGCCTACCTCTTAGACATATGATGTCCAAACTATTTCCCCTACCTGGAATGTATTTTCCTTTCCTCTTCTTTAAGATTCAAATTCTTTCTACCTTTCAAGACTGTATTTAAGTCACATCTCCTCCATGAAACCTTCCTCAGAAACTATATATAACCCATCATGTCTTTCTGCAAAATACCACAATTACGACTGCCATCACATAACTGATTTTATCATATTTCCTTTCTAATTGTTTCATATATGGTATATTGGTATATTGGTATGGGCTATATCTGAACATCATCAAGTCACCCACAGGACTTAGCACAAAGCATTCAAATATTTGTTGATTAAGCTATCAGGTTCAAATAATATATAAACAGTATCCTACAAAACCTCCATTTAGTTAATCCCTCACTTCACTATAAAATTTATAAAATACTTCAGGGACAAGGAAGATGACATCAATCTGAGTTAGGTTTTCTAGTGTACTAAATCCATCAATACAAGTGCAGCCTTTCTTCCACAACCAGAGCTTCGCCAGAGAGCTAAGTCAAACAACTCCTGTCCAGGAGATGAGCTGTGTTGGTAGGAAACTAACTTGATTCTTCCCCACAGTTAAACTTTAGAAATTTGACCAGGAAGCTCAATGGTGATCTGAGGCTACTCACTGCAATGAAATATAATTGAGAAAAAAACCTTTTGCCATTCCAAGTGACAAAATTAAAATTTGATAAGATCTCAGTGTTAGAAAAGGCGATATTCCTTCCCAATTCTCCTTCATCTTAGTGTCTTCCCTTTCAGACTACCCCCAACGGAGTTCCTGCCCTACCTGATAAAACTACTTAAAAGGCATGGGTAAAATTCCTAAACTCTGAGGAAGTTCATGAAAAATACAGCATATTTCTAATTTCATCAATATCTTAATATTTATCAATCAATTTTAGTGCTAACTAAAGACTTCTCTCCTGAACATCCAGTCTCTAGTGTACCCTTTCCTTTATTTCAAATTCAAACTATTGGAATTGTTTGTCATGGCTTATTATGGTGAGGCAAGTAGGATATGGCATTATAGTTTTGTACTTGTTATAAAGGAGAGTTCTAATGTGAAGGAGTATTTGACAGTGATGTTTTTAAAAACCGAATTAAATATTTTTTTAAAAAATTATGCCTAAAGCAACAGATTATAAGATCGATCTATGATAGCAAAAAAAAAAACACCCTGGGGACCTCGAGAGTTCCCTTTTAAATGCCTTATTTATAAAGATGATCATAATAGGGGAAAGGAGGGAAGAGAATAAGCATTTATATAACGCCTATCATGTGCCAGGCATTGTGCTAAGTGCTTTACAAATAACTTCATTTGATCTCAAAGTGATTTAATAGCAAAATATTCTTTGCAATTTTTTGTAAAGACACTGGCTCCAGCAGTTAACTAGTATTTGTAGAAAAACGCTCTTTTTCTCGAGGTTTTTAACACATGCTTTCCTGGATCCAGCTTCACAATTGTGTGCCCCCCCCCCTCCGCTGCCAATGAAGCAGCATTACCCTTGAGAGATAAAGCTTACAAATACAAAGCTCAAGTGGCTAACATTTGGAATTTGTATAAGGTTGGGCTTATGGCCGTAATATTAAGTCTACCAATACACGGTCTGCAGTTTAGAATAAGGAACAGAGGCAGAAAAAATTAAAAAAGGACAAACACCTCTAAAAAAGCAACACGCTCGACTAAAAATGGATTTCGCTGCAGAGCTGACAAGGGCCTCCCCCCGGAACGAGCTGATCATGACACACGTTGCTTTCCGGTCCCAGACCCCTCAGCCGGAGGCTCCAGGAGCCTCGCACAACGCCCACGAGGCTCCCCTCCGAGCCCCATGCCCGCGGCGGGCACCCCCGACACTGCATCGCGGGGTGGCGCCTGTCTCCACCAAACTTCGGTGTTTTCTGGGGGCCTGCCCAGCCCCCGCCTGCAGCCCTGGGCCAAGGCCCGCTCCCGCCGGGCCCTCCACGCCCCCGGCCTCCTCCTGCGGCAGGGGCCGCATCCCCAACGGCGGCGGTTTCCGCAGCCTCCCCCCGACTCTTGTCCTTGCCCCCGGCCCCGGTCCTGGTCCCGGGGGCAGCCTGTGGCGGCGGCGGCTCTTCCCGGCCCCGAAGCACGCAACGGCCGGGCCTGAAAATGGCGGAGAAGGAGCCGCCACCGCCTCACGCCGCCCCGCGTCCCTCGCCGGCTCCGCACTCACCGTCCAGTCTCTGGGCTGGACTCCCCTCCGCCCAAGTTAAAGGTGGGATCTTCGGCCTTGGCTCCCTCTTAGCGGTCTCCGCCGTCTGGCCCGTTCCCGCCACCTCCACTCCCTCTCTCCCCCACCACAGGAGTTACCGCCTCACCGGCCCAAGCTGGCCGCCATCTTCCCCTCTGAGCAACCAAGCGCACGCCTTTGCGTCATCACGCACCTGGTGCGCCTCAGGGTCAGAGGGCGCTGGGCGGAACTCTGCTGGCCAGAGGCGCAGCGAGCTTCGAGGCTTGATCAGAGCATGCGCACAGGTGAGGACGCGTCTGCTTTCTGAAATCTGCAGAGGTGTTTTTGGCTCCACTTTGTTACAGCTTAGCCTGGAGTGGTGCGTGCCTTTTAAAAACCCGGAAATGCGAATCTCCCTAATTTACTAACACAGGAAGTGCTTATTCGCTTTTCTGAAGCATCATCTGCCATCCAAAAGGGTTAGATGGTTTCTTTAAGTACATCCAAAATAAACCATTAACCAAAATGCAGCTTTCACACAACTTCTCTGGATTATATAATCTTTTCCTTTCGGACTCTCCTCTGGTCTCAGGTCAGGACCATGTACGTACCTGGGTGTCAGAGCCTGTTTTCACAGTCACACTGTGAAAGGCTTCTAAGATTTGCCTGTGTTATCTATGGAATTAAGCTGGCCAAGACTTGAGTAATCTGGTCAGGCTTCAGTTGTTTGCTGTGTTAAATGTTGATAATAATAACTTATCTGCCCAAACGCATAGGGTTTGCACCAGAAGACTTCTTTGGAGGCTGCTTGGGCCTCTCAAATTTTTGATTGTATGCTTAAACCTATTTTTGGACTTTTGGTCGTTAACTGCTAAAAATCTCTGCCAGGGCAAAGGAATGCTTAATGATGTGCTGTCGTCCTTAAGTGAAAGGGGATGTTTTTTGAACCACCAAAATAGTCAGAGGTGAACTTTAAATGTTGCTCCAGCAGTGAATAGGGGCTTCGCTTGAACCATTCACACTTTCTTGCCAGGCCCTCCCTGTGACCAGTAACAGGTTATATAGAAGTGGTCTGTGATTATGAAACGCAGAAAAGCTAATAGACCTGGAGAAAGAACAGTTGTGACTATGGGCCCTGTGTTATCATTATGCCCTAACCAAATGAGATAATCAGCTTCATAAATGTTAGTGACTTACCATTTACAGGGCCCTAGGTCTTTTGTCCTTGGGCACCAATTTTTCCTGTTTTGATAAAGAGGAGACTAAGGTACAATGGTTGTCAGGGTGATGGTTGAGGTCATTGAGGAGAGATGATTTGCAATAAGCTAGACTAACAAATTCCTATGATATGCAGATCATTATGAAGGTTCAAAGACTACCTGACTTGCCTTCTCCCCGCTTTTCTTCTGATGCTGCAAAATGCATCTTACCACCTGACACACAGGCTACAAATGCCTGCCAACCCTCTAAGACTGGGGTTCTTAACCTGAAAATAGAATTCAGGGGGTCTCTATTTGGATGGGAAAAATATTGCATCTTTATTTTCCCTAACTGCTAATTGAAATTTTTCACTTCCTTCCATTATGAATGTAGGCAATAAACCACAGTACTATGAATGCATGTGACTTATCACCAATAGAAATCACAGATACTTTTGTATCACGGTATAGTTGTACGAATAGATATCTCAACAATCATTTACTCTCATCACTACTTCAAAATTATTGTAATTATTAGGCCAGGCTCTGAATGACATGTTGTCAAAGACTTCCTGTCTACACACTCTAATTCAACATAATTGGTTTGCTTTGTAAGCCCAAGCACTTTGTTCTTTGTTTATTTAAAAATATTCTGAAGAGTCCTGGTGGGATGGGGTGGGGGTTTGCAGCAAGGGGGGCCAAGGGCCAGGGAGGGTCCATGACACACAAAAAAAAGTTAAGAAACACAGCTCTAAGGAAATTCCACCCAGTGTTAAATTCATATCCATATTCATTGAGGAAGTCACTGCAAAGAGTAGAAGAGCCCTGAATTCCAGCCTTTTCTATACCACTAACTTGCTAAATGAAATTGAGCAAGCCATTCATCACTCTTGGCCTCAGTTTTTTTATCTGTAAAAATGAGGGAGTTGGACCAGATGATATTTAAGGTTCCTTCCAGTTCAATGATTATATAGTTCTTTTAGTCTGGAGAATTTGGATCAGGTGCTATTACCATCTATTTTTATTCCCAGACAACGTTCCTGCCCAGCTCAAACAATAACAGACCATTATAGTTAGATGGATATTTGTGTAACTGCTGTCGTAAAGCCATTGGTATGGGACTCTCTCCTTATTGGGGGAGATAAAGTTGGTGAGAAATAAGAGCTTCAGTTTTCTCAAGTCACCTTTGAGTCCTCACTTTGGGGACCTTCAAGCTAGAGCCTTCTTGGATTGACAGTGGGTTTCCAGTTTCCAGAGAGAAAATGGAAGAAGCTAGCCTAACTTCAGGTTGCTGAAGTAAAAGACTCTGGGAAGACCTGAGAGAAGCTGGCAGTCTTTATCATATCTCTACCTGTAGCTTTCTACTGCACAGACTTTGGGGAGTTTCCCTTAGTGTGAGATTCAGGACTCTCTGTTGATTGAGCTGAGTTATCTCGCTCCCAAAGGGAGAGCTCCTTCCCTCTGTATTGTCTGGTAAATATTTGTATTAAAGTGTTAAAAACATCTTGGGTTTATGACATAAGGGCACAAAATGTTTTTATTGATATTTACAGCCTTACTAACAATGCCTTGGGGAATCTTACTCTTTCCTTTGACTCTGCCTGGTGAAAGCTAGGTCTAAATAATAATTAAAAGAACATCATCCATCACCAAACATCTCAAACCTTGTCATCCTCAATGTCCCTAAGCTTCAGTGTGGTGATTATCTTCCTACAAAGGACTCATGCATTTTGCCTGTGGTATGGATGGATTGAATGGAAGAAGAATAGCCATCTAGACCATATTACAGTTTAGCAAAAGTCTTTCATAGACATTAGCTCACTAGATTCTTACTAGCTACTTGCAGTCATCCCCATTTTTCAGATGAAGGATGTTGATGCTTGAAAATGTAGGTGACTTGCCTTAAGTAGTTTTGCCTTCTTAGAAAAATAGTCAGAAGAAGAGCCAAGATGGAAGAGTAATAAGAAGCAGTGGGGTGAGCTCTGCTCCAATGAAATCTAGAAAATGCACCCAACCACATCAGGATGAGAAAATACAGAAAAAAAGTCACAGTGAGTCATTTGTCCAGATGAACTTAGTATAGAGACAGGGAGGTCTTTGGACACTGGAGACAGGTAACAACAGCAATAGCTAACATTTATATAACACTATTTGCTAGGCACTATACTAAGCACTTAACAGTTACTATCTCATTTAATCTTTATAACAACTCTAGGAGGTAGGTGCTATTATTATCCCCATTTTACATATGAGGAAACTGAGGCAAACAGAAATGATTTGCCCGGGGTCACACAGCTAGTAGCTGAGGCTAGATTTGAACTCAAGTCTTCCTGACTCCAAGCCCATCATTCTATCCACTGCTCCACCTACCTGCCAGATCTGGGACAAGAGGACACAGCAGCGGAGCACTACAGTGCCAAAGAACAGGCTGGGTACCAGTGCAAGAAAAGAGGACCTCTGCACTGTGGACAAGTGCCAACTGGCAGCTCCTACTACCCAGTTCTGGGTCATAAATCTGGGGCCAGCTGAAAAGGGGGACCTGTACAGGGGGGTTGTGTTCCCCAAGAAGGAACCTTGAAAGGAGGCGGCTCAGAAACCCGCAGCAGAAGTATGGCTTAGATTCCCAAGCCAGAGCAGGGTCTTCCTTCCAGCATCTAGCCGAGCCTGTAGTGGAATGACCAAGGCAGGAATCCCCGACCAATGGAGAGATTGCAATTCTTTTACTCTGAACCAACAGAGTAGGCTGATAGAGGTGGAGTCCAGCAGCAGTCAACTCCTGCTCAAACCCAAATCAGGAACTTGCAGAGCTCAAACCATCAGAACAGCAATTAGATTTTTGTCCTGGATCAGACCACTTTGGGAGCACTTAAAGCTTGCAGGTCCCCAAACTGTCCCTGAGATCCTGAAATAAAACTGTATTCTATAATCCAAGAAAGCAGCAACAAGTACGGGAGAGCCTAGCCCTAATATCAAGTCCAAAGTCAGGAAGTAGACTGGAAGAATGGACAAACAGAAAGAAAACCAAACCATAGAAAGAGTATATATGGCAGGAACGCTCAAAATACAAATGCAGAGGAAGAGAATGACTTCACAGCATCTATAAGCAATGCATCAGAGAAGAACACAGCTTGAGCACAAACTCAACTAGAATTCCAGGAAGAGATGAAGCAAGAGTTTTAAAGAATTGAAAAATGTTTTTATAGGAGTAGCTAGGTAGTGCAGTGATTAGAGCTCTGGCCTTGGAGTCAGGAGGACCTAAGTTCAAATCCGGCCTCAGACACTTGACACTTACTAGCTGTGTGAACCTGGGCAAGTCACTTAACCCCAATTGCCTCACCAAAAAAAAAAAAATAGTTTTTATAAATGGAATGAGAGCACTTGAAAAAAATTGAAAAGGGAATTAACAAACAGCTTGGCACAAGAGAGTACAAAACCTTGTGTGAACAATAAACTTTCTGAAAATTAGGATGAACCAAATAGAAGCCAATGACTTCATGAGACAAGAAATATGAAAACAAAGTTGAAAGGCTAGAAAAATAGAAGAAAATGTAAATTATCTCATAGCAAAAACAACTGACAGATACAGGAGAAAAAAATTTAAGAATCATTGTACGATCTGAACAATATGACCAAAAAAGGGGGCATAGACATCATATTTCAAAAAGTCTTAAAAGAAAACTGCCCAGATCTCTTAGAACCAGAGGACAAAGTGGAAATAGAAAGAATCTACTGGTCACCTCCTGAAAGAAATCCCACAATGAAAACTTCCAGAAACATCATAGGGAAATTCTGGCACTTCCAGGTCAAAGAAAGAATACTTCAAGCAGCCAGAGAGAAAAAATTAAAGCACCAACAAGTCACGATCAAGATCATACACACTTTAGAAGACTCTACTAAAAAGAAACAGAGAACTTGGAATATGATATTCCAAAAGGCAATAGATATGGGATTATAGCCAAGAGTAACTTAGCAGCAAAACCTTGTATAATGCT